GCAGAATAAAAATGGCAACCAAAACATTTGGCAATTAAATTTTAAAACATTATTATAACTACCAATAATTACTAAGACTTAAAAATTATAATTCATACATAAATTTTTAAAAGAATCAAGTCCTTCAAACAGACAAATAGATAATATCCAACAAATGTATTTCAAAATTAGACTCAGTATTGACGTGAGGCTAACATCTTCAGATTAAGAGCTTGTAACATAAACTCTACATCAAGGTTACTTGTAACACAAACAAATGCTGAGTTAATAATTATGTTAATAATTTTTACTAAAAATATAATTTCTGCCAAAACTGGTTTGGCTCAGTGGATAGAGTATCAGCCTGCAGACTGAAGGGTCCCAGGTTCAATTCTGGTCAAGAGCATGTACCTTGGTTGCAGGCACATCCCCAGTAGGGGGTGTGTAGGAGGCAGCTGATCGATGTTTCTCTCTCACTGATGTTTCTAACTCTCCATCCCTCTCTCTTCCTCTCTGTAAAAAAATCAATAAAATATTTAAAAAAAAAAAAAAAAAAAAAAAAAAACAACAACAACAACAATCTGCCGGGACTGGTTTGGCTCAATGGATAGAGCGTCGGCCTGGGGACTGAAGGGTCCCAGGTTCGATTCCGGTCAAGGGCATGTACCTTGGTTGCGGGCATATCCCCAGTAGGGGGTGTGCAAGAGGCAGCTGATCGATGACTCTCTCTCATCAATGTTTCTAACCCTCTATCTCTCTCCCTTCCTCTCTGTATAAAATCAATAAAATATATTTTAAAAAATAAAATAAAATAAAATAATCTCCACTGGATCTACCAATACAGGCAAGTTTATTTGCTTAATCATAGCAAGCCCTATGCTAATATGAAAGTATCAAGAAACAAACTCTTAATTCCAAACTTAAAGTGGTTAAATCCATATCCTGCATATTTCACAGTTTTGAGTTTGCAGTTAGATGTGAAACTTGTAAGAGTAGCTCTACATGTTACTGAAAAGGACACTTAATAATTATGTTTTGGTAGTCCTCTTCTGTCTTGGAAAAAAATCATTTTAAGAGTTCTGTAATTTACCATGAAAAACAAAATCAGTATATCTGAAAGGTTAGGTAGGTATGTGATGAAACCATTCAGATAAGCAAAATACAGGGTTTTTTCCTACATAGTTACCTAACAAACCTTATTCTTCAAAGCCAAGACTTTCCCTCTTAATGAGCAGTTGCTTTTCATGAGGCCCAATTAAGAATTGCCCTCTCTGAGTTGGGGGATGCAGGGTTCGGTAATGGGGGAAATAAGGACACATATGTAACACCTTAATCAATAAAGAAATTTTAAAAAAAAGAATTGCCATCTCTTAAAGTTATAAAATGCCCCATATATCTCATATGTTGCTTTACCAATATGATGCTGAAGTTGACTAAAATTCCCAGAATAGACTTAGAAGTGACAGGCAAGAAATGAACTTCATGCCGAGACCGGTTTGGCTCAATGGATAGAGCGTCGGTTTGGGGACTGAAGAGTCCCGGGTTCGATTCCGGTCAAGGGCATGTACCTTGGTTGCAGGCATATCCCCAGTAGGGGGTGTGCAAGAGGCACCTGATCGATGACTCTCTCTCATCGATGTTTCTAACTCTTATCCCTCTTCCTTCCTCTCTGTACAAAATCAATAAAATATATTTTTTTTTAAAAATGAACTTGATGAAATCAACATAAATTTTTTAAAAGGTAACTTTCAGTTAAGTTAATGCTAATCTGCTCATTTATCTTGTTAAAAAGGAAAAATCCACTCTACATATAATTTTAAACATCGATCACATTCTGAAAGCCAAATCTACAAACGATTCACTAATAATTTGGTGGCACATTACCACTGGGTTTTGTGTGGGGTTTTTCTGAAGAGAAGATATCCTCAAGGTTTTATTGTCACATAACAAAATATGAAGCTTATGACTAAATCACTTGCCCTTTCTCTTCTTATCTCCTCCCAGTTCAAAATGCTTGCATCTCTTAATAGCCAGCATTCTCTTAGATCTGCAGTTGGGCTCAAGCATTCAAGCCTCAGCACAATCTTCTTTGTAGTTTTAGGCTTTTTTGCTTAGTCTGTCCACCATAGCCATTCTAATTCCTGTCATAACACCGCTGTCTCTGCCCTTCTTATACTATGTTACATTGTGGGGTTGATATTTGCCCCACTTCTTACAGAAAGTCCAGCGTGTTGTAGCAATTTTCACTATGTTTCTGAGAGCACTATCAGCTTGGAAAAAGCTTACCTTCATTTCAAGTTGCTGGTTTATTTTTAAGAGCCTGTTTTCAGACAAAGGAAGTTATGTTTTGTAATTTAGTTACAATACCATTTGCAAGATACGAAAAAATCCAAGGTTAGATTATGTGTAACAAAGGTTCAAATACAAGAAAACAAAGTATTACGTGGTGATGTGTTTGACTAATTTATTTCATTATGTCATACAACTAGCAACTTTAAAATCTCTTTACATAATAGAATACAATTATAAAACTGACTATACTGATTTGTATCTAATTCAAATTACATTCCACAAGCCATGGAATTACTATATAGATGTTACGTAAGTTTTGAGGCAGCTCTTCAATCACAGGAACTATGACAGCATAGATCGTGTAAATATACATAAAGGGAGTCCAAAACTCTATTTTTACTACATCATTTTTTTTTTCTCCAAAGGCTGCCAATCAGAGAGGCCAAGCAGAATTTCACCTCCTACCCCTAAAATCACTCATTCCAAGGTGGGATTAACAATAGTAAAACTGTCAAAAACAGCTGGAAGGAAGAAGCTGACTAAGCTACAAAAATGAGAGCACCTAAATAAGTAAGTTGGCTTTTAAAAGTAAACAACAGTGGCCCTGGCCTGTGTGGCTCAGTTGGTTGGGCATCGTCCAGTACACCAAAAGGTTGCCAATTCGGTTCCTGGTCAGGGCACAAGCCCAGGTTGGGGGCTCAATCACCAGTGGGGGGTGGGAGCATGCAGGAGGCAGCCAATGCATTCCTCTCACATTGATATTTCTGTCTCTCCCCATCTCCCTTCCTCTCTCTAAAACTCAATAAAAGGTATTTTAAAAAGCAGTCAACAATGAACTGATTTATCCTAATAACTGTTTTATCCTAATCTAATATACATGAAAATGATGGTTTGATTTGGTTTGGTAACTTCCCATCCTGCCTTCCCTGAACACAAGGGACCTAATAGCTATGTGTTACCTAGCAGTACGAGGATTTAGAAAATGTTCCAAAGTTAAGAAATGAACATATATCTAATTGACTTCTCTTACAGTTAATAAGCTAATAAGCACTCTAAGCATATGCTAGAAAGTGTGGGGAGGCGGGAGGCAGGACAGTCGAACCAAAAAAAAATGAGACAGTCCCCGCTCTTCAAGGATCTCTCTCAATTCGTTACAAAGTACCATAGATGAGTCAGGAACGAATTAATTGCTAACCTAAGTGGTACAGACTGTAAGTGCAAGAGCTATGCAGTAAGTTTAAATATCTAAAGATTGGAATAATATTACTTTAAATAGCTATCTCTTGAGCACTTATTATAAGCCAAGTGCTTCACAGGCATTATTTAGTCGACACAACACTCTTTTGAGTACTTATTCCCAATTTACTCAAGGGGAAACTGTCAAAGCGGTTAAGGAACCTATCCAAGGTCACTCAGCTAGTTAAGTGGCTAAGCCGGCCTCTTACTCAGCCAATCGAATTCTAGAGCTCACACAGTTAGGTAAAACAGTGAGACAGTGAGAGTGCCAGCGGGGGGAGTGGAAGGCGGGCTATAGGCAGCCGATGTTACACGCGCACGGGTTCCCTGCGTTTAGTTTCATTCTAAGTAATGAAGTCCCAACTGTAAACTGCACCAGCAATGGTAAACGGACCACTGAGGGGAGAGGGAGGGGCAGTGGGCACGACAGTAAAAATGGCTATGAGTTCACTCTTCCAGGATCGAGCTGTCGCTAATAACGCGATTCAAAGAAGGAAACTAGAAATAAGCGATTTGGGTGTTGTTTTTTTAACCTGGGTTTGTTTTGCCGCTTGAACCATTTTTTTTGTTTCGAAAGGGAGCGCTGAAATTTTGGGCAAGGAAACCTCGGGTATGACAAATTACTGCTATGCGTGCCTGAAAAAAAAAAAAGTTTATGACTAAACGAATCGCGTTATGCTGGGTGTTCGGGAACCTTGGAGACTTGCCAAAATGAGTCGCAGTCCCAGGACAAAATGGGGTTTAGGAAACATTTCATGACCAAAGTTGAGTCCCACACGAAATGGCTCTAAGGTGAAAAGACGGAGCACAGAAATGCCGGTAGGTTCTTCCGGGAAAGCGGCAACCCCTGCTCCACCCCTCCCTGGGCAGCGGCGCGGCGGAGGCCGGGCCAGCCTGACAGACCGCTCCCGAGAGGACGGGAGGGGAAAGCGGGGCTCCCCGCAACGCCGCGGTGAGGAGCGGGTTCGGGGCCGTTCGCTCTCCTCAGACATCGGGCTGAGGCGCCAGGCTCCGACATGCGGAATCGAACGGGTGCAGAGGGAAGAAATCGGACGAGAGAGAGAGAGAGAGAGAGAGAGAGAGAGAGAGAGAGAGAGAGAGAGAGAGAGAAAGTCCGAACCTCCCCGGCGCGGCCCCGTGAAGAGAAAGGAACCGAGGGAGCCCAAGCGAAGACAGGGACAAAAAGGAAACGGAGGGGAGCGCGGGGACCCGAAGGGGCGACACCGGAGTTCCGCTAACAGGCTAACGAAAGGCGGGCCGCCGAGGGCTGAGGAGATTTCACGGAGGCCACGGAGGGAAGGAGGTCGGCAGTGGTTACCGGCACCTCGACTACCTCAGTTCGAAACTCCCTAGCCAGACGTCCACACCCGCCGCCCAGATGGGGGAGGGGGCACATCTCTCCCCTGCCCTTAACCTCCCCCAACCAGGGGGGGGAACGCCGTGACAGCAGAGCCCGGCCCGGCTGTGCGCCCGCCTCCAGCCCCGACACTCACAATTCGCCTCTCCCCGTTTTCTCCCAGTTCTTTATCCACTCTACGGAAACCAACACCGTCGCGGCCGCCATCTTCCCCTCTCTACTAGCAGGAGCCCGGATGTGTAGCACGCGAGCGAGGGGTCAAAGTGAAGCCCCGCCCACTGAGGATGCCGGGAACGGCGAGTTAGCTATTCGTTTTCCCGCCCCAGTCCGCCCCGGCCCGCGGAAGCCCGAGGCCCCGGGGCCAGCGAGGCGCCCAAAGCCGTGGGTCCCTTCGCGGGGTGACGTCGCGGGGCCGCGCCTTCCGCCTCCCCAGCCCTCACTTCCCCTTTCCCAGGCCACCGCGCAGCCCTAATCTTTATACAAAGTATCAACACCAGGGAACGAATTCGAGCTTGTATTTCTGAAGAACCTAATGTGTGCTAGACGCCGAGAATCGAAAAACAATCAAAAACAATAAACCGTGATGCCTAGGCTTCCCAAGTTTGCCGTCTGTGGGAAAGACAGACCTATAAGCAGGTCAATTACAATACACCTTGCTGAGGTAAAAGAAATTTACTTTCAGGGAAGAAGTAACTGTATCAAACATGCTAAGTACAGGGAATACAATGTGGCGAGGAAAAGAGACATCAGCCCTGGGAACGCTTTGAAGCGCCCGCGCCACCAACACTACTGTCTCCGTGCAATTGGCACATTAGGCAAAACTAGGAGATGCGAGTACCATGAGAAACAACTTGCTTATATTGCTTACTATCAAAGTGTCTCCCACGCAACCCTAACCGAGGTTCTGGATTTGTCCCTGGGTCAGAGCAGATGTAAAAATCAACTAATGAATGCATGAATATGTGGAAGAACAAATTAATGTTTCTCTTTCTTTATTCCTTCCTCTCTCTCAAATCAATTTTTTTTTATTAAAAAAACAAGTGTCTCCCGACCACATACTGTTTCAAAGGGTGAAATAGTAATTTTACAGTGGGAAACCGGGAGGACACAAGTTCACCTGGGGATGAAAATAAGCTTCCCCAGAAATTAGACAAATGGGCAGCATGTGCCTCCTGATAAGATCCTAAGAAAAACACTAACCAATTTTGTAGTATTCTTCATAACGAAAATTCGCATAGCCTAAATTTAATTGTGAGGGAAACAAGAGGAATGGTCTACAAAATCTCTGGCTTGCACTGTTCAAAATCGTCAAGTTCACTAAAGCCCAACTAGCGAAGCTCAGCAATTGAGCATCCTCCTAAGATCCAGGCAGTCACAGTTGGATTCCCTGTCTGGGCACAAGCCTGGGTCCAGGGATGGGATCCCGGGAGGAGGCCTTGCAGGAGGCAGCCAATCAATGATTCTCTCTCATCATTGATGTTTCTATCTCTCCTTCTCCCTTCCTCTCTCAAATCAATAAAAATATTTTTTAAAAAGACAAAGAACTAAAAATAAAAATAAAAAAAGACAAAGAACTGCCGAAACCGGTTTTGCTCAATGGTTAGAGCATCAGCTTGGGGACTGAAGGGTCCCGGGTTCGATTCTGGTCAAGGGCATGTACCTTGGTTGCGGGCATATTCCCAGTAGGGGGTGTGCAAAAGTCGGCTGATCGATGACTCTCTCTCATCAATGTTTCTAACTCTCTATCTCTCCCCCTTCCTCTCTGTACAAAATCAATAAAATATATTAAAAAAAAAAAAAAAAGACAAAGAACTCTTCCAGATTAATGGAAATACAGACATCAGAATTGATCCCCAGCTGGAAAAAACATTTTTTCCCCTTGCTAAAAAGGGCATTATTGGTGCTATTTTTTACTTCTTTGTTTGTTTATTGGTTTTAGAGACCGAGAAGAAGAGGGAGAGCGAAAGAGAAAAACATCGATTTGTTGTTCCACTTATTTATGAATTGACTGATTGCTTCTTGTATGTGCTTTGACCAGGAATCTAACCCGAAACCTTGGCATATCAGGAAGATATTTTAACACTGAGCTTCTACTTGGCCAAAGTGTTAATTTCTTTTCTATTTTATTGTTTTAATATTTTTTATTATTGATTTCAGAGAGGGTGAGAGATAGAAATATTAGGAAAAAGAAAATATCCAATAGAAAAGATCAATACAAACAAAAATTGTTTGGTTGAAAGGTCTAATAAAACTGACAAACATCTGGCAAAACTGACTATAAAAAGAAGAGAGAAGGTACATATAAAGAAATATTAGGAATTGTATAGATTGGGATCATGACAGGAAACTGATGACATACTCAAAGGATATTATTAAAGAGATTTTAATGAAGGAACCATGCATAAGGGTGTGGGTAGAATTAAGACACCAACAAATAGATGGTAAAGCACCACCTCAGGTACTGGGAGTACAGTTAAAACCTCAATTATTACCTACTAATTTGGGCAAGTGGGTGCCTGTTAAATCTGAAAGTTCATTATATAATAAAGTAGGGTTTTTTATGTGTATGTTAAAAATTCATTTACCTGTTTTTACTTATGTAGACACATTTGTATAATTAAGTGTGTGTGGAAAGTTTAATTTCACAGAAAACTTTTCTATATGTATTACTGTAATTGTGTGCATTCATCAATCACCATGAGTAAACAAATGTGCATGGCTGAGGCCTGAAGGGGCAAGGGGAGGGAATGGTTAGCAAAAAACAAAGGAATAAGGAAAAATAAAATAAAACAAAATAATAAGGAAAGGTACATTCAACAGGAGCTGTGACCTTATATAGTAAAATTATTGCTAGTTTTCATTCCAGCAGAGAATCTAGGAAATAAATACCTTGACCTTTCTCTTCCTCTATTATCTGATCTGCTAATACCTCCCATTGGCTGATGGCTACTGGAAGCCAGAATGCAAGGGAGCCTGGCAAATGAAGCTGATATGGATCAAAAAAACAGAGCAGGATGGAAAATAGATTTTGAAAAGAAAAACAGAATTTCCAGCACTGACCATTCCTTTTGCCCCTCTACACTACTCTAGCCCTTTGTCCAGAGGAAAAACCCAGGCCCTCAAACAGAATGTACGAAGTCCCATAAGGCAGTATCATTACAGGGTGATGTCAATTCATCTTACTCCCACATGAAATGGAAACTATTAGCCACCACCTGTGCTTTTCATACAAAGTAGAAGGGGGAAAGAAGGCTATAAACTTAAAACACAGTTGATACAATATCTGCTTCTGGAGCTGGAAGCATGTTCTAAATTGATAATCATAGCTTCCTCTGCACTCCATATTTCCCATGCCTTCTGTTAGTATCACAGTAAAACAAGATACATTACCTGGTCGAGTGAACTAAACCTTCATCCTTTTATAATCTTACCTTGATTAGGTTACCAGTTTTCATGGGTCAGTATTATTGAGCACAGGAGTAATAAGAGGTACCCTAGTGAAGCCTCTGGCTTCTAGATGTAGTCCTTCTTGCCTCCATTGTGTAGTACCAACCTAATTTGCCTTTGGTAATCAGAGTAGACCACTCTGGTCTGTACAATGCCCCCTTGTCTGCCTGTTCATTCAACAGCGTGAAGAGCACAAAATGGCCAAAAGGCAGTGTCAGCCTCTGAAACATCAGAATCTAACACATTCCCTGGAGGTGGGGGTGGGGGATGTATTTCTCTCTTGGGCATTAGAACCTCTTATCCCACTGAATCCAAGATGTAAGGATGGGAAACAAATATTTCTTCAGTCATTTCTCTCTCTCTCTCTCTCTCTCTCTCTCTCTCTCTCTCTCTCTCTCTCTCTCTTTCTCTCTCTCTCTCCTCATCTGAGGAGTGAGGTTATACATATAGACCTGGGTTATATAGAGAGACACTGGGAGGGAAGAGAGAGAGAGAGAGAGAGAGAGAGAGAGAGAGAGAGAGAGCATAATCAATGTGAAAGAGGCACATTGATTGCCTCCCACATGTGCCTTTGGGGGAGGTGAAGTGGGGATCAAACCTTCAACCCAAGTCATGCTCTTGACAGGGAATCAAACCTGAGACCCTCTGGTATGCAATCTGACACTCGAACCACCTAACCATGCTGACAAGGGCCTCACCTCTACCTCTTGAATCCTGGACCCACACATTTTTGCTACAAGGGAGAAAATATATATAGTGTGTCTCCCCCAAAAAATGGATACACACTTTAACAGCTGATAGCTCAATTTTGAAAATTAAATGTATTTTAATAAACACTACTTTTATAATTATTCAAAGTGTATGTATACATTTTGTGGGACACTACATTTTGGCTACTGGTTGAAAGCATATACTAGGTTCTGTAGGACAGTACCACAACCTTTCAGGCTATAGTGCCATAGCTGAGCCTTCAGCAGGAAATTTCACCCTTGTATCAAGCCAAATGTTTCTGAGTGATAGGATGTGTGATAAGACCAGTACATTGCATGGGGATGAGCCCATCACCACACTTCCTCCAGGCTCAACTGATTTTGTTGTTGTTGTTGTTGAAAGCAGTGTTGGGTGGGATACCATGGTGAAGAATCAGGCATTCAGTGAGTCCACATGGTGGTGCTGGCAGAGGCATTTCAGGCATAAAAAGCAAATCAGTATTCAGAATATGCATCTGTTCTTGTAAAGACAGTTGGTGCCTCCCCCCTGATGGAATGGTTTCAGTGTAACCAATCTGCCACTAAATATCTATCTGTTCCCCTGGGGGAATGTTGCAATGTTGGTGCCTCAGCCTTTGGTCTCTGCTGATAAGCAAGTTGACAATTCAAAGTGGTGGTAGATAGATTAGCTTTGGTGAGGGAGGACCACATATATACACCCTATCCCAGCTGCCACAGCCAATTTATACATTGGCCTACTGAGCAAGCTCTAGGGTAGCCAAAGGAAGAGGCTAACATCAACAGAATAGGTGATCTTGTTCATCTGATTACTGAGAGCCTCTTTCACAGTGGATGTCCTCTGGGGGCAATTATGTGGAACACCAACATCTTTACACTCTAGCCCCCTGGTCGCAAGCCACATGCAGCTCTTTGGCCCCTTGAGTGTAGCTCTTCCACAAACTACCACGGCCTGGGAGAGTCTATTTTGAAGAAGTGGTGTTAGAAGAAGTTTAAGTTTAAAAAATGTGGCTCTCAAAAGAAATTTCAATC